ATTGCAGAAACAGCACTGTCTTTCAAGGAGTGACTGTATTATCAATTGGCTGCCTAAAAGCTTCTGTTCAGGTCTTTTTCAAACACACACAGCGGTTCTAGATGAGAGGCCAGGAATCTGCCCCTTGAGATTGCCACTTCACCACTGTGAAACTTGCTGCATTATTAGTATTATTACAGGGTCAAATACACCACCTTGAACCTGACAGATAAACTCCAGCAACAAAAATTTAAAAGGCATCAATTTTAGTGATAGCAAACAATTTGAACCACATTTGTTCTAAGCGTAGCAGGAAATTTTTGCAGTTGATTTTCCTTTCAGAGATAGGGGAGGGGAAGAAGAAAAGAGCAGGAGAAGGGGGCTAATGTTTCTTTCCCTTGAAATTGAGATTTCTCAGAACTCTATGTTTTTTTATGCTTTAGGCCCAACTTTTCCAATAACGGGCTGCAGAGGGGCTTGCTCTGAAAGGTGCAATAGATTCAAAACTGAATGCTGTTCTAGAAACCACATAGAATATAAACGATGAGACTTATGGGATAACCTGTCAAAATCATTAGGTTTTCCTACTTCCTCTTTTCTACCCATACTGTAAATCAAATTAGCATATAGAGACTAACATTTAAATTCTAAGACTTCTTCTAAACAATAACTTGCTATATAACACCAATTTTTCCACAGAACTAAAATATTGAATGATGTATTTTGAAAATACTTCCTGTTTCTGCGGTAGATACGGGCTCGCTTTTTGCAAGTAATATAAAATTATTATTAGTGACTCATTGCTTAGAGAAGCCAAAGATAAGAGAAGTTCTGTAAACACTATGACAAAAAAAAAACGAGGACTGAAAAAGAGTTAAAAGCACAGTCCAGTATTCAAATATCATGCAGAATCGCACAACTCCACAGTGAATTCTGGAGATGGATTCCTTTCACGGAGGAACAACATCTGTCACAAATGTGCACTCATCTTGGTGCACAAAGAGGAGAATGTTTGCATATAGGTTGCACCACATTTTGGCAGAGTGTGCTGCTGACATGTATGGTGGCCAGGTAACTTTCCATACTATTTCTCGAAAAGATGCCCCTAGAGTAAAATGGGCTGAGTCATTCTCAAGTCCAAAGGATGTTTCTTCGTTTTGCAAAAGGGCCATGAGTAATACATGCAAATACAAGAATAAAAATCTCTTGGCACTCTCATTTGCAAAGGTCTTTTTTAAGCTTTAGTGCTTAATTAGTGAATATTTGTGGGATTTTTTTTTTTTTTAAATAAAAACCTAAAAGAGAGCATCCAGGCTCAGTAGTAACTACACAAAATGAGACTACTTATTTTTCGAATGACTGCAGGATCTTAGGAAGTTTTCACTGTCACCTGCAGCCCGAAGGAAAACATTGAAAAATGGGGGTATATTTTTTTAAATGGCTATCGTAGATGCTCAAGGCCAGGAATCTTTATCATGATGGAACCAGATGATCTTTAAGGTCCCTTCCAACCCAAATCGTTCTATGATTCTATGATTATGATCAACTTCATAGAAAACGCCAGTACTACCCAAACCCAGATGAGATCCACCTACACTGTTACCTCATCCTATCAGCATCATGTATCTAGTTATTACAGGTAACTTACAGTCTATTAAGATGAAATAGCATTTGTTTACTTGACTGAATGGTGGTGAGGTACAAAAAATATATATTATAGTTTCAGAACACAGAAAATCAGACATATACATGCATTTTCAAAATCAGACCAGAGAACAGATGCATCTCATCAAAAATAAAATCACACAATTTTTATTATGTAATTTATAATGCTTCAAAAAACATGAAATTAAATAATGAACTTTCGAAGCAAACTCCCAAACTGGTATGTTAGAAGAAAGCAACTCAAGAAAACTTATTTTTCAACAAGCAAGGAGGGTAAAAACCTGTAGAAGTCAATAAAATGCTTTAAGTCAGTACATTCCAGTAAACGAGAGCATCTGGAGCAGCAAATCTTACTGCCATTTTCAGAAAGTGCAAGACTGTGATTTACCTGAGAACACATAAACAACCTGTCAGTGTCACAAGAAGAGACTGAAAGAAGCTTCCTATTCAAAGGTAACTTTCTTTGAGTGAAATAAAACTTTCACTCAACAACTCTAATTAACATTCAGAGTTCAAAGCTCTAGGAATAGGTGAGCAGAAAAATGCCAATATACCTTTCTTGGTGCTAGGCTGACTAACCTGCCACAAAACACCATGGGAAGAACCTCAACAGACCAGATCTTTTACATACGTGAGACTGAATTTTGATTATTTATTAAAATAACCACTACTTAATTTTAAATCACAGTTTAGAATTTAATTTAATATAAAAACTTCATACAGAATATTACTTCAGTCACTCTGTCTCTGTGACTGTATTTTCTATGTAATCAGTACAGCTTCCAACACAGTAGCTTCTTACCAGTAACCATGGGAAGTTCCTACTCCACAGTTCTCATGATCAAAAATGGGAAATATTATTTAAAAATTGTTTTGGAAAAAAAAAGTTTCATCAACATCAAAACAATATAAATCAGTTTAATTTGAGAATGATGCAGAGTTATAAGAAAACACTCTGGAAGCTGCGTGTTTAAAATTCAGCAATATCCAAATTAATTTAATTTTGCTCAATCCAAATTTGACCTAGCATTTCAATGTTCACTTCAATTCTTTTTATAAAGATAAAACCCTCAATATGGAAGTGAGATATTCCATTCCGCTTTCCACCTTTCAAAAGCCACCAGGGCACAGGGGCCAGCCACCAAGCACAGGTGTGTCCAGCAACACACAGAATCCCCTCCACAGCACACAATGACTTTGTATCTCGATTAATTAGACTCAGATTTCCTAAAACATGATATCTCCTGCTCTAAGGAATAGCTCTGCTTTTAGGTCAACAGTGTATAAAATACATGCAATGCTGTGCACATGCCTTAAGCGCTTATATCTGAAACTTTTTAATCCTTATCTTGAACTCACTAGAGCCTGACTCCACGTACACAAAATTCAGTTGCCATCTCAGGCTTTCAGATTTGTCCCCAAATGCATGGTTCAATAACAAGATAATTTCTCACTTATTTTGTTTGAATAAAGAGGAATAAATTTTAAAAACTGACTAATAGCTACTGTGTATTTTGCTTGTGTTTGCTATACATTGGTGCCAGCATGAGAGGGAACTAGTTAAATATTTGCTGCCTGATTTTTTTTTTTTTTTTAAGATTCGTAGAGGAAAAGCCTGTATAAACACAATGCAAGATACAAAAACAGGATTATGCTTCTATTGGTCACTTATTTTAAATACATTTATTATCATAACATACAATTATTTCTGGATACAACAGGCAACGAACCAAGTTTCTCCTCATCTATATTACATACTTTCTGTGCTTTTTAACTGTGATGTGAAAAAAAAGAAGTCATTTTAGCAAGATAATAAACCTATAAGAAATAGTTGTCTCACTCATTCTATTATTTCATTCTTACACCGGTTCTGGATTTTTTGTGTGCATGCACTTTAAATGAATGTTCACCCATTACTGTCAAGCAACTTGTCTTACTACTTCACATTTTTCTGTAAATCAATAATACCCTGCTTTCTAAACCATTTGCATACTTAATGATAGTGTTTTGCTAGAAGGGAAGGAACATTAGGAAATTTGTACTGCATATAAGAAAAGAAAGTGTCAGGTTATCAAAAATGCTTTCCCCATCACTGTGAAGGCCGCTACCCTCACACACCACACACATTTAGAACAAAATTTAAGGTCTGAAACTTTTCTGACACAGCAGATTGTGAAAGATCAAGAAAAACTCAAAAGTTTACTCAAATACAGAGATTCTATAGAAATAATGACTCTCTGGGCAAAATAAAAATTAGTTTCCTGACAGCTATTTAGTATCAGTCTCTCTTATGGCATGGGCAGGACTTTCCCACAGTTTTTATAAACTACATAATCTTAGCTACAAGATCATGAAAGTCAATATTTACTATGACCTTCCCTAAGGATAACGTGCATTACAACGTAATTACTCCAGGCTGGAAATCATTCTCATGTTGAATACTCCTGTGTCTTCTTTCCACTTGAGAAAATAGCTCACCCAACGCAATTCTAAACACGGTATTGTGTCAAGCTGACTTATTTCCATTTCAATAAATCTGTGTGATATTTTCTCCCATCAAAATAATCCAGAGATCAGGCTTTCTGGAGAGTTGTGACTGAAAGATGTTATCCAGTTAGGTACAGTTGGACCGAGTGTTTCAGCAGCTTCTCACATGGTTCCCAGAGATTGTCAGGGAAGGTTCCTTAAAAATGTCTAGATAGAAATGAGACCTACCTACTTTCCACTAAGAATTTTTAGCCCTCATTTTTCTGACAGGTATTAAAAAAGAATCATTGGATTTATTGCCTAATGCCATCACACTTGTTCTCTTTTCTAAATAACATGTGTCATAGTCCTGGATCCATTAATCCTCAGCATCAGTAATAACAATTTACAAGTCATCTAACAAAGTATTTTGAGGACTTTATACATTTTCAGTTTTGCTTTTATATATTCGCCTCAGCTCTGTCCAGAAAACTCCTCCTCCTGGATAATTTCTCCTGTTTCAATCCACTGACCAGTTTCAAACCACAGGTAATAAAACAGTATTTCTTCTCGCTACACGTGTGATCTGATCTCAGCCTTCGCACCTTGCATGCAAGTCAGTCATGGGACATGAAGGAATCATGTCCTGGTTGACAAAAGCTCTCAGCATGTGCACCACAGAGCTTCTGGAGCCACCTTCCAAGTTCATCCCGAAGGGCCCAGACATAGGAAAGGTACCCCATTCCACATTTACCTATCTCGCTTGTGCCTAAATTTTATGCCAGCAGAGGGTCAGCCAGTATGTGGCATTTGGTATGGCTAATTAGAAGCTAAGCAATACACACAACACAGAGTGTAACGCTACTATTGCTGTATACCTCAGAGCTCACCTGTACAGGAGAAATCATCGACACGGACATATCCCATGACACAGTCACAACGATAGGATCCAGGCAAGTTAACACACACAGTATTGGCATGACAATAATGCATCTTGGCAGCACACTCATCAATATCTGCAGGGAGGAAGAACCAAGGAAAGTCACAGTCAGGCTTAGTGAAACAAATAACATGACACAACAATAAAATAAGAGAAAATAATTTCCATTTGCAACTTCAAAGGCAATCTGCTTTATCTCTAGCATTAAAGAACATGGCAGATTTAGTAGAACAGTAATCCTAAAATAGAGCTAAAACTCCTGTATCATAGGCATGGGTTCCTTCCATTGCCCTTCACAAAATCCCAAATTTTTTTAACTCTGGAAAAGTAACACGTACATTTGGGTTTTTTCCTACGACAGTGTTAAAAGATAAAAACTGGTGCAGATTTTTCAAACACATAAAACAGCATCACAAGTATACAACACTGAAAATCTTAACTCTGCTTCATTGGTAAACTTAAAGCACGAAGGCATAATAACTCTGTACAGCATGATATCAGCTGCAGTGCTGGTACATATGGCATGGCAATGTTTGTCGGGGTAACGTAGCAGATTCAACTGCAGAGTTGATCAGCAACTATTCCAGCCCTCCAGATTCACCCATGCTTTGACAGTGCCCTGTCCCTGAAACACCATGCTTCTGCTGCAGGAGTTACTGAACAGCACTCTGTGTCACTTTCACATGCCTTACAAGTAGAAGACTGAGCCAGTCACCTAATCCCATTTTAAGTCTGTTTTACATCATATCAATAAATAAAAAAAATAAAAAAAAAAAAGGAGCGGTAGCAACTTGACCCCATATCTCTGTTTGCTTGAGCAATCTCTACTGCTGCTGCACATCCAAAATTCAAAACTGTTTTCACAATAGTGAATCAAACCTATCATTTACTTGCCTGTTTAAATATATGAAAGCTCTGTGATATTGTAAACTGTAAAATCTTCTCCCTTCCTTCTGCACAAAACCAGATATTATACTGAAAAATTCTCTTTATTTTTTTTCTCAGCAGGACAGATTTTCTGCTTAGTAGCACAGATTTTACATCAAGTAATTCAGGGCTTTCAAAAGATTAATTCTAGTGTTACATATGTCCACACAAAGAAAGATGAATCAGATTCATTTTCCCCCCCTATTACTTTCTCCTTGTTATTGATTGCTCACACTCAAGAAAGGTATTAATTGACAACACAGCTGAAGAACTTCCTCAGCCAGTGGGAGACAGATGAGTTGGTCACCCCATAGTGTGGTCTCCTACCACACCCCTCCATGCACCTACCTGCAGAGACCAAGCTACAGTCTCTCCCTTCTCCCTCAGCACACTGCCTACGGAGATACAATGGAAGTGCTACAAGGAGTTAGTACCACAACATCAGGATTTAATCCCACAAGACAGAGGAGTTTAATTGTATACATATTGAGTTCTTGGTTGCCTAAATTTGGGTATCCTGCTTAACCTCCCTAAACCAAAGTAGTTGCAGCTACTTGAGATACACCCACACTTTCCAGTCTTTAAAAATGAAACACATGTCAGCAATACTGACACTTTCTATACTACAGACATCTGTCCAGCAGGAACGACTAGCTAAATCACTTTGTGTTGGCCACCAAACAGCTGTCAGATGGCAGTGATTTCTGACTGCTGCCAACTTGGGCTGAATTAGAAATAATGGCCTGGAGGCAAAAGACTTTGTATACCACTGCAAACACCTTGAACTATCTCATTCCCACATTTCTGTTGTTTCTGTTGCAGTGCCACTTGATGAAATGAATTTTAAAAAGTCAGGAGCATCAATATATGGAAGATAAAAGCCAAGAAAAATCCTCCCACATGTCTTGTTATCACACCACTGAGTGCTAGAGCCACTTGGGAAACACTCAGGTGTTGACGTGTGTTCACACTGTTCTGCTTGCAGCCTCTTTTTAATAGGCTTTTGGAGCATAGCTTTGAGGAGTTTTGTTCTTGCATATCTAATAATTTTCTAGCATAAAAGGGAAAGGAACAAAAAGATATCTGAAAAGAAAGCAAGAATGTCAAAACAGCAACCAATTCACCTGAAAATTAACCTTCTGCACTACGCTCTATCTCCAGCTTCCTCGTTCACTGGACAACATTCCTTCTCTTTCTTCCCCCAAAGAGACGTGAGAGAATTACAAGTCTCAAAGGTGAAGGAATCTAAACTTTGATTCATTGCAAGCAAGGCCCACATTACCGTAACACAAAACATGAGAATAGCCAGAGATAAAAAGAAAATTCACAACCTATATGAAAATATCACTGCGGGAGAATTTCTCAAAAGGAGACTAAGGACTTCAAGTGATGACTTGACTATAAATAGGGGAATTGAGAACAGACACTGGATTGCTGCAGAAGTCCTTGAGTCCAGGAAGCAAAAGACTGGGCCTAACAAAGGAAGCAGAAGGAACAAAAGATCCCTCTCCAAGATTTGCTCATTTATTTAACTCTCAATCTTTCTTCGTGCATTTTCCATAAAACCTTTCAGTATTTCACATTTTCTTTTATCTTTGCAGCATTTGCCTTCTACTAATACACGCAATTCCTTTACTACAGAGAGTAATATTGAGAGGTCAAGACTGGCAACAGTATTTTCTTATTAAAGCTTATAGGGCAATGCGAAAGCTATTGTTCTGGACCACAATTCTACAAATTCTTGTAAAAGGTTAGGTATTCATCATAAAAAGCTTTGGGTTTTTACTTAATATTGTTAGAGTAAAATCCATAAAGCACACAGTGGTATATATCAGCTCAGTTGTAATGGAACTCAAATTGTGATTCATGTGTATAGATTGCTTGTCGCATTTGAAATATTAGAGCTCATCTTCCAGTGGTCTTTTGGGGTGATAAAAATACATGATTTATGTTTCTCTCTAGACTGGTGAAGTAGTTTGTTTTTCTTTTAAAAAGGTATACTTATGGTCTTTAAAATGAGACTTGACACAGCATAATGATGATTCACATATCACCAGCTTCCATCTACATAAGCCAGCTCTTTGCAACAAAGACATTTGGGCTTCAGCTTCTCAGTAAGGACCATTACGCTACAGCGTGGGTTGGTTTGGTGAGTGAACACTACTCTACTGGGTTCAAGTGTTTCCTTAACGGTTAGCAAAATAGGGTTTGTTGCCAATGCAGAGCTCTCTTTACCACAGTACTCACCTACCCTATAGCTAATAAGTTATCACCATTACCCCTTACAGTTCTAAAGGGTGTTCATGAACTTACAGGGAAATATGCACATATTATCTTTTGTTATTCGTGCCAGTGCACTCAGCAATACTAGGAGTAAGTATACTTACTTGGGACATAACACAAGAAAAGCATCAGCACGGCAGACACTCATCATTTCACACCAACCAACCAAGCAAACAAGATGGGATGGAAAGACAATACAAATGGTGTTCAACCCATGGCCAGTGAAAGAGGTTCCCTAATCTGCAAAAGTACTTTACAAACCACTCAACCCTTTGCATGCCCAACTTGGAATCCTATTGCTAAATAATTAAAATATTTAAATCTGACAACAAGAGATCAAATCACAACTAGAGCATCTTTTTACTGTTTGTCCCCTCCAGCAAAAGTCACATCAAACCAAATTAATCTCTGCTGTAAAGAGGGTATAGTTACTGTTAATGGCAATGGGATTTTTGCCCATTCACTCAAAAGAAGAAATGGACCTACTATTTTTTAAACTGTCAGTCCTGTAATAACCGCAAGTGAACAATCTTCAAACAAAGCACTCCCTGCCTCTGGAATTGCAGACCACTGTTTTGCATGCATTTAGTAATAATCTATTTTGACATTAGCAGTATTATCACCTGTTGTTTGAGGCGTCACAGTTTAACTACTGGAAGGCAATAACATTCAAATCAAAACAAAATGAAACCAACTTTGAAGAGCTCCAAAGCATCAGTAGATAATGTATTTGGAAATCTTTTAAGTATCAGAATCAATTACTCCATTTGCAACTATCTCCCAATTACTCGCTTTCTGGTTGGGGAGCATATTTTCCCAAACTTAATTTTAATTTTCAAGCACTTTATAAGGAAGAAAAGAGACAAAAGTAAACACAGGGAAAAAAAGGACAGCTTTGCAGAAAGCTCTGATCTCTAATTCATGACTCTCAACTAGTAAATACATTCCCCTCCTCACTTTTTATTCAAGTTAATACTATGCCTTGACTTAACTGTACTAAATCCTGGTCTAAATAATCTGGATTTTTCAAAATGTAAAACCAAACTGTTGTTATTTAAATAATTTCAAACCTTAAAATATGTTCACAAGCTGATAGAATCATATAAACAAAGTTTCCAAAACAGTGGAACAAAACAGTAGTGGAGCATAAGAGAGGTCCTAAAATTTCAGTCACCCTACACTTAAGTGTGTGAAAATGAACACATGCTATTTTCACTCCACTGACTTAGCAGCTGCTTGTTCGTTATATTTATTTTTTGTTCTACAAATTCTCCCTGATTCCGTCCTCTCCGGCTCTTATCTCCTTTCTGCTGCCAGACTCACTTGACTTCAGCTCTGCTCGCCTTCTTTTCTCCCCCCTCCCAATGTCTGTTCTTTTACGTATGTCTAACATACCCCATACTTGTTTCTCACCTTTAACACAGGGTTGGATTCTGAAATTGTGCAATACAACCCTCAGGGAGCCATAAAGCACTAGACAACAGCAGTTAGCAGTTCCCTGTGAGCTGGCAGCAGCTCAGCTTCCCCCCAGTTGCCTGAGTAAGAAAAGACTAATTATTGGCTGCAAATGTTTAGGCTAGCCTTAAAACTGTTTACGGACTTGGACTCCTTGAAAGCAATTCATCTCCTCCAAGGCAGGGCGGCACTGCAAACACAGGGAAATCTCACCATTCCTCTTAGAGAGACAAAGCTGCTGCCTAGTGAGAGGCAGGAAAACAACCCAAAACAAAAGCAGATAAACCAAAGGAAAACTTCCCTTTCAATAAGGCTGAGAAACATTACCCTGATGTCGTTAAGTAAGTAACTAGCTAAAAATGCCTTCATAAATTAGGGCTGGTGTAACATCACCTGGGAATCCTTAAGCAA